AGGATGGACCGGAGGACACGGTGGAACACACCGTGGAGGTGTGCCCTGCTTGGGCGGAGCACCGCCTTGTCCTCGTAGCGGCGATAGGCGGCGGCGACCTCTCGCGTCCGGCCCTGGTCGAAGCCATGGTCCGGAGCGAGACGGAATGGGATGCCGTCACCACCTTCTGCGAAGCAGTGATGCTAGCGAAGGAGGTGGCGGAGCGGGAGAAGGAGAGAGCAGCAGCTTTCCTCCCCGGCCGCCGCGGGAGACGCCCCGGGGCGTCGGGGGGCTACGTCGTGGCCCCCGGCCACCGTAGGCGCGGGCCTGTGGACGGCGAGCAATGGGTAGCTCGCCGTCCGTCCGTCTAACGACGACAGGCCGTGTCGACGGCGCGTTTTGTTCCACGCGCGCCTCAAAGAGCTGTCAGCAGCGTGAAGGGGCCCGTAAGGGCCAACGCCTGCCGGGGCTGCGGGCTGTTCGAAAGAGATACCGCGGCCCCGGAACGTAAGGGCACTGAAGGAACACGGATGGTTTTTAGTCAGTAAAAGTCTGACACTCCCTTACGCTCCACCCAGAGCGAAAGGGGTCATTAGATGATTTTCCATCCGCAAAATAAAAAAAGGGTTATAGTGCACGAGTGTATGTACAGGTGCTCTCTTTTTTCCTCACTCTCATAATCCGATGAGGGGGCAATCAGACACAACCGACGTGAAATCAGGCGCAGGGCCTTACGTGCTTTCCGAAGCAAGCATGGTGGTAAAACACTGTCTCCTGGCTGCTACTAACAATTTCTTGACAAAAAACCCCAATAACTGATTTTGGTCCGACCCGGGATTTAAATCCAGAACCACACGACCAGCAGTCGCGCTTACGACCATTAGACCTATGAAGCTTCAACACTAACTGGCTATTCACAGTCCACACAAATAAGTTTTACCTCAATTATTTTTACCTCGCAATAATAAAATTAATTATAGCACACACAACAAACAACTTCATATCGTATTTTTTCTTTCAATAGTTTCAATTAATAAAAATAAGAATATAATTACGCATCGGCAGTTATCGTTGATATTTGTATTTGTGTCAACAATTACAAACAAACAAACAATTTGTGTAAACAAGGCCTCTGGTTCTCTACATTCACTATGCGAAAAGAAAACTCTACAAAACACTACGCCGCTATTTTACAGTATTTTCTTTTGATAGCTTGGTCCTTCCCCGGTGTAACTGACCGACTCGTGTTGTAACCACTTTGAGCTGCAACATGTGCTCTACTAATTAATATGATAAATGAAGCTAATGCGACACTCATTCACAAATAGCGTAAATAGCAGCTGCTTATTACACGAATAGAAAATGAAAGGCCAGAAAATCAGGACTGTACTTTGCTAATCTCGGGATTTTCGGGATTGCCACAAACACGTCTAGTTTTCTTCTGTAGTCTGTTGCACTTTGACAATAACCTTGTCTAGGTTATATTAATAACATTTATTACATAACGACAAAAAGTAACCCTTAGATAAGCGTGACGATACATACTACACAGGTACAACCAAATGTGATATTGTTGGGGGGTATTTCCCGTAGGGGATTCTCTGTACGAAAGTATAAATACGTCAATAAGGTTTTAATTTTTTATTATTCTTCTAGTGGTTATATATGTTACGTCATTGAAATTTAAAAATCAATTATCTGAAATTAAAAAAAGTATTTTAAATGGCGGGAAACTTTGTTAAATATAAAAAAGAAAGTGATACGATGTCAGTATGGAGTTATTTTTTAGTTGCGATGGACGGGTATATTGCTAAATGTAAGCGAGCCTTTGGGTTGATTGACTCTGAGATTACATACACATTTGTCATCAAAACATAACGTCAAGGTAATATCAGCTTCAACAAGTCAATATTCTTCAAATCTGAACACAGTTTTTTACGTGGTAGAGCCATGCTGTAGCTATATTGTGGTTGCAGCACGAATGAGTCAGCTCGACCGGGGTAGGACCACGCTCTCATAGAATACCAGCGTAAAATAGCAGCTTAATGGTGTTGTGTTTCGTATGGTGAGTGTAGAGAACCGGAGACCCTTTTTACTGGAAATGATACATTCCATCTCAGTCCTCAGAGCTGGCAACACATCTGCATTTTGATTTTTAATTGAAGATAAATGTAGATGTCTATGGGCCACAACATTCCAACCCCAATTGACATTAAAGGAAAAATTACAGCTGGCAATTGATAAGAGTATGAAATCCCCAGATCCTAAAAGAACAAGTACAAAATGAATCGGGGTTGGCAAATATTATTAGACGTGAAATGAGCCTTGAATGAGAATGTTCGAAAATGGAGGAGTTCGTGGATATCACTTAGAAACAGCATATAAGTATTTATTGTCTATTCCTGCAACCAGCGTAGAACCTGAGCAACCGTTTTCAGTTTAAGCAGGAGCTTATGTTGACAATAAACTACGAAGTAGGCTTGGAAATCAAATATTTGATTCTGCGATTGTGTTTTCGAAATTTTAAATAGTTTTTTGTGTTTGTCTTTTTGATTTCTTGCAAAAGTATATTTTTTTCAATTTTTCTACTTTCTTTTCTTACTATATTGTGATTTATGTTTTGCAATGACATTAAAAACATTCTTTTTTAGAAATTATTCAAGTTTTCTCAAGAGGAACTTTCAAACTGTGCATTCAACTCAGATAAGACAACTTTACCAACATAATTTATATTAAAATAGGGTTGGATTTAGAATCGTTTGGCAGGAATTTGGGGGAGTATGGTATTTTATTTGGTAGAGGTTTGGTCCCCGATTATAATAATTCCACTCACATTAAAAGGTAATTTACCGTTATCGAAAAAATAAATAAAAACTATTATAACCTAAAATACGTGAAGTACGGAAAATGATACATTTTTATTATTAACTGACTTTACGGCTCTGGTTTCTAGCCCTTCTGAGAAAAAAATTATACGATATTACTGTGAAAGCTGGATATCATACAGAATTTTGTGTCTGTGGCAGGGGCAAAGGCCCCCGGAATTTATAGATATCTGATCTGATCGAATCTGTACTAAAATTAAATCAGCACGCCCGAATCCACGTAGTCTTGTCTGCCCTACTTCTAAAGTGTCTTTGTAAAGCCGTAGGCGCGGAGGGAGAGCAGCCCCCGCCCATCTTAGCAAATCGCAGGCACTTGTGCGAGCCGTAGTGTGATTATTATTGTATTATATATTATGTTTACAATTTAAAGTAATTATAAAAGCTAATATTTTGGTGTTTTGTTGAGTGTAAGAGCGAGCGAAGCGAGCTCGGGACTTAGGGGACCCCAACTCGGACAGGTTAGGTTAGGTGAGCGAGCGAAGTGAGCAAATAGACCCTGCCATTCATTTCGTGCTTATTTTTTTGTAAACCACTCAGAAGTAGAAGCCGCGGAGCCGTAGGGCGAAGCGGGGCTCCGTCGGACGGGCTTCGTGCCTCTCGACTGCGCTACGTGGTGCTTCCCTTCCCCAACTCTCTTCCCCATAAATCAGGTTTATAGTCAACAACATAACCTCAAAATTAGATTTTTTAAAATTTATGAAAAAACACTAAGCATGTCCAGCAGGATGTGGAAGTGGGGGGCGACTCTACAACTCCCCCGCCTCCCACTCCACCACCTCCCACCCCCTTAATTCATTTTGTGTTATCATTTCAATTATAGTTAGTTATATGGGATTTTCTTTTTGATTTTTCTCAAGAACAGTGCATTGCCTTTAAATGGCAGTGCTATTATTATCGGTGACCAAACCTCTACCAAATAAAACACCTTACTCCCCCAAATTCCTGCCAAACGATTCTAAATTTCAACCATTAAAATGTTATGTATATTCCGCAACATGTTTTTATTCAAATTTTATGTATTTTGTGAACACTAATATTTCTCAATCCTTAGGTATTTTCACCCTTTAGTTTTAAAATACACTTTCATTTAGAGAGTACTAACACCGATTTATATTTTAATTTGCTAACATAAGTATTTAAATAATTATGAAACACAAAATGAAATCGAATTTTCAGACAATTGTGTTCATATTTGGACTGTTTTATCATTTGCTAACGCAAACAAAGCGTGCCCACCAATTTGTTGTTAAAAACGCTCTACGTATAGATAAACAGCGGGAAGTGGCTTTGTTGCGGCGGCTGTTTAAAATTGCGTTCGGTAGCGGGTCGCTCGTTTATATTATTATGCGAGTAATTTAAAGCTGCACCACCCCAGCCGCTGTGCTTAATAACTGAGGTCATATATGTTTAGAGACATTTTAAATGCAATTCACTATTAGCATCTAAACTCCAAAAAAAAAAACCAATAATCTACGCTTAATATAGCTAATGTATATTATAGTTAATATATACGATTAAATAAGATGTATGGTAATTCTAAAATTTTTACCATTTCAAAAATATATTCACCGTGAAGTATGTGTAGTCATTATCCTGTAGGTGTCTTAAGAGGCGACAGATGGAAATGAAATAGGAGACGGATAGCAGAATTTTATTGATAGCACCTCACACATGAAACTAGGATTACTCCTGACTGCCAAGCGTGGCAACTATTGCAAAAATAGCAAAAATATCACCTATGAGGCAATCCATGGGAGAGACTAATGTTTAGCAGTGAACTTTTGATAGGCTATAAAAATATTACTAAAAACATTCGTAAACAACAGACTAAATATATAATCGTTTTACAACCTCATCGGTTCTATTCTAGACAATAGAGCACAACCTATTGGGTCAGCTGAAAGATTCGATTGCGGGCACGAACACATTTCGTTAAATAACAGTACCTAACCTTCTAGAATATGTGTTTCTTTGTGAAATATATAATTGGAAAATTAAACCATGACGCCGCATTTTTAACTTTACGTAAAAGTTATCGTCTCCTACTATAATTTATTGTTCTACAAATATACCGCTAACTCATCAGTTATTTCTAAGAATGTGGTAGAATAATATGTAATTTAGAAAATAACTCACCGTATTCTTCGTGAGAGGGCTGAGGACTGGTCTCTCTCAGCGCATAGTCAGCGTCGTCGGCGGGCGCCGCCGTGCGCGCCCCGCACCAGGGCACGCAGCAACGGAACACCCCGCCTCCGACCACCTTGGAGCCGTGCGCCCGCTACGATCCAAAGCGCTCGCGCCTTTATCCGATACACCAATAAAACCAGCGCAAGAGCTTCGATTCACAGATAGTGTCACGAACACCATTAGCGAGATTCACATCACATAGAAATATAGAGAGAACAAATAACAAATCTAAATATAGTATATTTGACACTTATAGTTATTAGAATAGTTGAAGCGTAACAAATATTAACAAGAAAATTCAAGTTCAGTCTTGAGAGTTAGAGAAGATAAAGTTCTGATATGTCGGTAACTAAGATTCATTGGTTATCGGGAAAAAGAAAAATTATTAATAAGTAAAGATGGTATTTCATTCAACCGCAACCAAAAGTATCGCTGGTCTGGCATTTAGTATTATCGTTCAGTAAAATTTATGCTAGCGATTCACTAAAAAGCGCTTAACGAGAAAAAATATCATGATTGATTTTATGAATTGCGAGAGTTGAATAAATATTTAAGATTGTATGAAACACTATAATTTAATATAGCGTAGAAAGTTTTCCTTTTACATAGTTATTAAAAACCTTTGTAATTTTAAATATAGCCACTACGAAAATAGTAATCTAATGAATTGAAACGAGCACAATATTCCATTGTAAACACGTAGATGTGAACGAACGGCTATCATGATCGAAACGCATCGCGAATGCTACTAATAAAATGATCCCTGAAAAATTGTTGGCAGACGCTCAATTAGAACTACTATAAACTATAATTTTTAACTGATTTAATAAGTTTAAGATAGCTCACGCCAACTATTGACATTGCATTTGTATAAGGTGCGTGTTGAATCAATGTAAAAAATAGACTGTGTTCACGGGAAAATAGAGGTTTTATAATACCTTAAGCAGCTTACGAATGTAAAAGTAAAGTTATATTTCAAAACTAAAACAAAAATAATTCTACACGATACGCTGATATGATTATAGAATCTAAAATTTAGCATAATATGTATTGCGAAAATAATCTAGAGTATCCATTCGTAGTCTTGTGATTTCAAGGAAACCAAAGAAAACTATATGTGCACTTAAATATTCCGTATGGATGTTTAAGAAGGTCTTATGTTCTATTTAAATGTAGTCATACCGTTTAAAATTAGTCAGTTTATATTTCGTAAGTTAGCTTTTTAAATATATTAAGTGAAAATGTTTTAAAAATTATCTCCTTTCTCATCTCCTAACAAAAATATTCATAGGTAATTCAAAAATAAGTTTTGCGTCAAAATAAACATAATCGAAATACGGTTAAAACATTGGCTGATAGAAAATAAATGTACTATAACTGTAAAAGTACTGTCAGTACATACTCGTATGTAACCTCATTTTTATTAATGTAAATTTACGGAACACGCCCAAACAGAGACTGGCTATTGGTTAACCGTAAGTCGATACAATGAACTAAATAATAAAAAGAATCAACTATTTATACTCAGTAATAGGTTGTACATGAATTGATAGCAAGCACTAATAACTAGTCATCAGGACTCAAGCACATTCAATTACTTCTCGTTGAACGGTCACTAGGTTCAATTGCGAAATCATCATTGTTACTGTAGTCGCTAACTGGGTAATGGGGTACTCTTGTACAAATTTATACTTCTGCGAATCATGATTTACAAAATATTTCGAATGTAAATCACATAGAAATTAATTATTTGTCTTGACTATACTCGTACTTTTTGTTCTATCAAGCAAATCAGATTTATCCGCATTATATAGAAAATATTATATGAACATTTAAAATCAGCTGCAATCTGTTCATTATAAAACATCGTCATAAAAGTCTGCAGTGGTTAGATATCACTCGCTAATGGCTGTATCTATTTTAATCTATATACATACTAACTATAGCTTGAGATAAAATTAAACGTTGTTATTATAATATCTTATCTCAGATGTAGTAACATAATCTATGTGTCGTTTGTTACGAATTTATGTTATTTTTATCCTTTTATGTGTAAGCTCATCACCCAAGTTCATATTTTTTGTGTCAATGTGACAATGTATAAATTGAGCGTACTAGGTACCAATCAATCGGAAAATTACTATTTGTATTCTCATTGATCTTATCAAATTTGTAAGATTTCGTGTTTAGATTGTAGTGGTTATGTTTGCAAACATTCAACAAGTAACCTTTACCCGTAAATCAATATGGCCATAATAAAACACTTCTAACAACTATTATTTTACAAAACCATTGTATTTTCCACAACCCTTTAGGTTTAATATAGCTGTTGTGTGATTCGTTTTATTGTCTTTGAATCTTATTTTCTATATTTATGACACGTAAAAATTGCATGTTGTTATATTTATATAAACACTTTTTCTAATATACTTACCAAAATTATCAACAAGTTGTTAGCATAATTGCATAATACGAACTAAATAATCTAGCGATAATACATACTCAGCGCATTAGTGATTCGGTGGCATAAATTTCTCTTTCTTGTTAAAATAATTCGTTTCAATAAGTACAAATTACAAAGCACTGAGAGATGCGAACTTAGAAATCTTTATATTCGCAAGACTATAGAAATATGTAATATTGTTCCAGTAACACAGTGTACTAGATAACAGCGTAACGCGACAGAATGCCCTGTGACCTGTAAGGGAGCCCTACGGGCGGTGGGGCCTACACAGATAATATGGTATCGCGGATATTCAGTAGTTCATCGTCACACATTTACAATGCCCACATGATACGCGGCGAGGCTTAGAAGCGGTGAATAGTCCGGCTAGCACGCGACGGAGCGGCCCTAAGCGTCGCGACGGCCGGTGGACCGCGACTGGAGCGACGCTGCGCGTCGCAGCCTAGGGCGTCGCGAGAGCAGGACGCACATACCGCTTAGCATCGCGCACGACCTACGATTTTAGCCCTTGAACCTTCCTTCTTAATTTCTATTTACCTTGTTCGAAGCCGGTCTCTTATGTTTTTGTGCGGGTGCTAAAGGGTTTTTACCCCGCGAAGCGTTCATTCTCGTGAGCGGTGTTACGTAGATCGTGAAGCTGTGCGGCATTTCTTACAGGCCGGTTTAGTGTTACATCACTATTGAGTGTGCTTTCAACTTCTTACCATGAATGTGCTTAAAATAAATAATTATCTTCACATCAATTTAGGAGTCTTTTCAAAGAAGACAAAGGTTTCTCTCTAGGAGTATTTCACATCATTGAATTACGTTCTGTTACCGAAATATAGCTAAGGGGCTTCTAAATTCGGATTTCGTCTTACCGATTTAGTTTTGGGGAGGTAAAGATCTAGGTAATATTTTTACTTCACTTTTCTTGAGGAATGTCAATTCAAATCTCTTTGAAGCGCATAATGTTTAATTTGCTCTTGTGATTAATATTATTTATTATTTTTCGGAACAATTTTTTCCACTGTTATCCATTCTATATCCATTTTTAAAGTATTACTAAAAATTTGAAAAAAAAATCTTAAATATGTATTTTCACGCGTTATTTAAATATTAGCCAATTGTTGTGAACAACCGAATACACAACTTAAGAGGAGAGTAAAGCAGGAGTGTAGGGTGGTGGAGAACTGGTTCCACCGAACACTAATTGCGCATTGCATATACTTGACCGATTTTAGGATTTAATCCTTTATTACATTGCTCTAGAGATTATACACAATGGCGCATACTGACGTGTATTTTAACGACACTTGACTGGAGAATTCGGGAGAAGATACGTTGCTACTTTAGGTGTCGAAGTGCATCCTTTAGTATTTCACACAAATCGTGGTCCCATTAGATTTAACGTTTGGGACACAGCCGGTCAAGAAAAATTTGGAGTAAATATGAATTTTGGAATTTTTTTATTGATTTAATATAGTTATTATAAGCTAATTAAAGAAATTGTAATTAGCTTATAAATTAGTACTTTATATTAAATTAATAAAAAAATTTTAAAACGTCCATCGCTGAAATCAGATCACCAAACTTACTGCCTAACCTACTAATAAGTAACTTCCCGGAAATTTGCTTTGTAGTTGAAACAAGTCCATTTCCTCTTACTATGTTCAACTTTGACCTAACACAGTACGCAGGATGTATAAAACGACAGCCTTATGGCTCGCGCATACTATAGCCGCGACAGGCCGCAGCGCATCGCATTGCAAAATAGCGGCAAAGCACATATTAGTAGCGTCGCGCCGCGCCGCAAAGTAATATTTAATTCGGTCACCCGTTGGCAGTCCAAAGCGATGGATAGTTCTGATGAACAATTGTATTTATTCAATATGCTATTTGGCGAAGACTGGAAACAAAAAAGAAAAAGGAAACATAGTATATGGGTTTATTTGCAAGAAAAAGAAGGTGTTTGGTGAAATTCACTCCCTTTTTAAAGACTTATTAGAAGATGTAAAAAAGATTTTTCAATATTTTAATATGACTTACGAAAAATATTCTGAGCTTCTGGAAATATTGAGCCTAGCATTATATAAGCAAACAACTACATTTCGTGAACTAATTAGCCCAGTAGAGCGCTTGGCAGTTTGTTTAAGGTGAGTAAACCATATAGTACAAAACAGAAGAAACACTTTATTCAGAAATAGAATACATTATTTATCATAAATAAGATACTCATTGATTGAGTTCTTGATATCTTTAGTTAGTTGAATAATACGATTGCCGGAATCAACAAAATCTGAAGTATTTTGAGAAATAGACGAACGGCTTTCAACAAAACAGATGTTATTCATATGTCGTGGGTGATGACTAATTCTATAATTATTGTTTTTCATCATAAACTGTCTTTATGTAGGTTTAGAAATGATAATCTCGTCTTAAATAATTTTATCGCCTTGTCCACTTTTGGTTTTCCTCAATTTTTAGCACGCCTGTAATTCTCCCTAATCCTTTATTACCTCTCTTTACAATCTTGAGCTGTAAAAAAATTATTGAAGTTATTCTTCAGATTCTTGTCCACTGGGAACCTTCAAGTCTCTAGCTTTGAACTTTCACTTGGGAGAATCAACCATAAAGATTATTGTTTATGAAATTATTTTATAGTTATAGTAAGTAGTATATTGTATAGTTGTAGCATGAATGGGTCGGCTCGACCGGGGAAGGACCACGCTCTCACAGAATACTAGCGTAAAATAGTAGCTCAATGCTGCTGTATTTCGTATGGTAAGTGTAGAGAACCGGAGACCCTTTTTACTGGAAATAAGGCATTCCATCTTAGTCCACACGGGTGACAACGCATCTGCATTTTGATTTGTAACCGAGGATAGATGTAGATGTCTATGGGCCACAGTAACCACTTACCATCAGGTGGACTGTGTGCTAGTTTTTCACCCTATCCTATAAAAAAGGTAGTCAAAGTGGAATGAAATAGAATTACAATTTAGATTAAAATTGAACATTCCACACTACATAGGGGTGCTGGATGGAAAACTCGTGCCGATTGAATCTTCACCTAACTGCGGATCTCTCTATTATTGGTACAAAAAGGTTTTTTCAACAGTATTGTTAGCATTAGTTGATTATCTCTTTATAATTGTGGACGTTGGTAGTCTTGGGAAACCTCTGATACAAATATATTTAAGAATTCAAATTTTCATAAAGCGTTCAATAACGGACGATTAAATTTGCCTGCTGAAGAATTTATTCCGGGTACGAGCTTGAAAATGCCTTACGTAATTGTTGGAGATGAAGCATTTCCATTGAAAAATCATTTGATGAGACTGGATAAGGTCAATCAGTTCAATCAATTCAGTCAATGGTAAAATGGTTTCAAATTACAGATTCAGTCGATCAAAGGCGAGTTAGTGAAAATGCATTCGGTATATTGGTTCGAAGATTCAGAATTTTTGAAAGGCGCAGGGCAATGTTACCTAAGTACGTTAATTTGGTGATCTTAGCTGCATGTTGTTTGCAGAATTTTATTATCTCCTGAATTACATTCTTTAATTTCTTAATATCCCTTCCACCATCGGACAACCAGACGTTCGGCCAGGCCCATCCTTTCGTTGTTGACTTACCATTCGAATCGAACGGTTTGCTATGTCGTTCATTATGCGTACATTAAAGGAGTGGAATAAGTTGCCAGCCTCTGTCTTTCTATCCGATTACAGTGTGGGTTTCCACCACTCATATTATCACCACTTACCATCAGGTAGGATTTTAGGTAAGCGCTGCCTTAGAACAATTAAAAAAGGTACCGTATTTTAGTTTTATTATAAATTTATCAGTTTGATTTTATTCCATTTTTATTTTTAAATTTTTATACACAAATCATAGCTTTAGCGACTGTTCGTAAATTTGAGGGAAGGGCACAGGCAGAATATCAGTGCTGCGTTTATTCCACTGTAGCATAATACGAAGTCGGATTCCTATTTGTTGTTGTAATTTTTTTTAATATGCATGTAATACAAATACTATGCAATATAATGAAGAAATAAATGAAATTGTTTCTTTGTTCCCATATTTTTTGATTCCATGAATTCGGTAAGTCTAGTTGTGCGGGCGTTATTCTCTTCCGAGGTGGAGCCGCCAGTGGGTGGATGGCACTGATGGCACCGCGAACATTTACATGAACGCTCTCATATCTCTAATAATAACGACGGTGTAACTCGGTGAGGTATTAATCGGTGACAAAAGACGTCCACCTTTGCTGCAGCTATTTTGAGCATTTACTCACGAAAAAACACTATTTCTCTCATCCCAACCTACCCATAAATGATGATTTTGGGATGAGATTGAACGTAGACTTAAGTACAGGAATCGTAGTAATCCCATAACAGAAAAACTGTGCCACAATTGCTATTCACTTCTGGAATGCATAACCTAGCAGCCGGGTAACCTGACGGATAATCCACGCGGTTGATTTATATGGCATACGTAAACATCTCTTCAGACAACCAGAGAAATAATGATTACAAGTGCTATAAAAATAATAATCATATTACTGTTTAACTAAAAATTAATCTTTCAAAATGTGTGTAAACGTCCAAAATAAAGTAACGGTAAGATTTTTTATGAGAAACTGCTAGCTTATTGGACTCTCAGATTACGAATTTCAATGTTAAAGCTAGCAAGGTTGCGAAAATTAAAATGAGATGAAATCCCTCCCGACACCTTTTAAAGTGACGTTATTTAATTTGGTTGCTAAAAGACGAAAATAATGAAATACATTCTAGTATATATATAATTTTGACTTAATATATGAACAAGCGCATAGAGTGCTACGAAGTAGCTAGCTAAGATAAGGTGCTAAGTACATGGATGTTTCCAGAAACCAGGTGACGCGAAGGGGTTAAAACTCGTACATATTATATACTGACAGTTTCTGTCAGTTTATTACACATTATACCGCTTTTATATTAACTTGACATCACGTCAGACAATCATATAGGGAATTTCTCATGCCTGATACTTGCGATATAATGCATGGTTAGTAAATGGTTTTTAGTCTTTAACATCAATACCGCATATTAAGTAATTTATAGCAAATATTTCAATATTAATATAATGAATGCGGCACTTATTCTTGACCAGTATTTTAAATTACTCTCGCCATACGCAACATAAATTATGTTCCCGATTTGTTATGGTTGGAGTTGAATTTCCAATTAAAAATCGCCTGTTTTATCAAATAAGACATTATTCCTTTTAATTCAGTGATTTGGCAATACTTTCTCTTCTCTGTATCTGCCACATGCCAGAAAGGTTTTTGAAGTAAAACTTCTTTACGCACTCTTGACTTGGGGAGTAAGTAAGTGTTTCGAACAATTTTACGAATTAATATTTTGTTCAACTTTTAAAGTGAATATAATTATAAATTCATTTTAAAGTTCACATATATATATATATATATATATATATATATATATATATATATATATATATATATATATATATATATATATATATATATATATATATCTATATAAGTCTTTCCAAACGTAAAATATCCAGACCGGAAGTACTCTGATGCAGAGGTGCGAAACGTCACGGCGGTCGTCAATCTGCCTGTGAAATATAACAATGACTAATGAACCAAATCCTGTCAA